CTTGTCGGGACGGCGGGACAAGACGCTAAAAAGCGGGACGTATGGTAAGCCTAGACATGCATAAGCGCTATATTTGTCGACATTTTTACGCAAAGCTCCGCCATGAAATATTCTGTTCTGGAAATTTTATTTTTCAGTGAAATTCGAACGTACCTCGATTTCTCATTCATTCATGTGCACTTATTATATTTAACTTGTTCCTAAAATTGAACTACGTTTTATTAGTATGATATAAATACCATGCTGTTTTTGCAAATATTCAAGTTCAAAACCCCGAGGTTTGTAATAAAAACCTTAAATATTTGTTGGAAGTTAAAAAGCATCTAAAAATGAGGTTATACGGAGGTACATCTAAGTGCGTGTATCGGTCAGTCGGTTCATCTTTAAACTTTCCTTTGCGGACAGGACAAATATAGCCACATTGTTTTGGCACTTGTGTATTGAACTGAACGCGCAATTGTTGAATCCACTTGACGCTGGTATATATAGCATGATCCGATCTTTTAGCTTTACATAACTGTATATCGCAGGGATACACCTGGTATTGTTAATTGTTATAGCACAGGGGTGGCCAACCTGTTTTCGACTACAATCTTTAAAATAGCTCGCGATCGACTGATTTTTGTCATACACAAAAACGATTGAGTACTGGATATGCAGATAACTGCACACACGCATACAAAAAATTCCAATCTGCCCCGTGGGCGCAATCGCCAATAAAAATTTCCATGTTACATTTAATTTGATTAAGTTGGACCTGGAGTAAATTTTTAATCATTTATTAGTTAAAATTTTCCAAAAAACCTTGCAAAGTATCCATATTATCTAAACAGCAAAAAATACATATTCTCAAACCATAAATGTTACGTGACTGCTCAAAGTTCAGTATCTAATTTACAATTTCCTTCAAATCCGATTCTTCGCTCGCTTGAAATTTGGAAAATTGTGCATGTTGAATACCAATGTCTGCATGCGAATATAATTTATCACACTACTCTTGGAGTCAAGACAGTAACTTCCCCATAGTCTACTGCAGAACTTTCAAGACATATTAAAATTTCATTTATTACGTAATAATATGCGCTATCGAGCTTGCCCATGACTCAAATACTGTACTATCAGTAGTAAGGATGCAAAGTATGACTACTTACAAGTATTCGATTCTTATACGATTCCTAAACTTTCGATTCCGATTCCCGAGTCCGAATTTCGATTTCTCGAAATATTTTACCGGGAAAACAAACCATCTTAAACAATACTGTATTAAATCGAACAAGTGAGCACTGTTCGAACATATGGACACAAAAGCCTGGACCGAATCGCACACAATAAAACGAATCCCTTAAAGCCCACAAAGATTTCTTAAAATAAATAAAAGTAATTACCTTCTAGCGGAAAAATACAATTCCCAACCACTGAAAAATTCCTAGCAATTGGTCCAGTAGGTAATGATAAAGATAACAAGAAAATGAGTTCTAACAAAAAACGTAATAACAAAACGATATGTATGTACATTCTATGTACAAAAAATTATCGTCATAGCAAAAATATATTGCAATATAAAAAGTCCAATCCGTTTACATGTCTTTCTGTAACCTCGATCGGATTTTGGATACGGAAAGCTACTCTGAGCTAAATGCTCTTTCTGATGCAGCGGATGTTGCTGGGGCACCGGGATACTTTTGGACGAAAACTGCGATGTTTGGATATGTTTTTTTTTGCAAAATGTATTCTATGTAGCTGATATGGCAAAAGTTCTTTCATTCAAATATTTTGATATCTGAAGAGAGCTGCCCATACCACCACTAATCAGATTTTCAATACATTCTTCACTCCATTTATGGAAAAAGTTTTTTGCTATTTCTTCTGTTGGACTGTGGGTTGTTCCATCTCTGAGGTGTAAAATTTTCTACTTCAAAGTGCAACATGTATTTCATTTTTCTTGCTCCAAGTGAATAGAAGTTATGAACGCAATAAATTGGACAAAATATACACGAAATAGTTCAGTGCCCTTGTCCCGCGCAAACGAACAAAAATGAGATTGTACAAAAATATTTAAGTTTGCGTCGTTGTAGGGACACATATTATACATGTATATTTATACACATATGTGAAAGACTTGTCACAAAACGTTATATATACCTTGTTTGTAATCCAAGTTTCAACCCTAGGAATCGATTCCGGAGTCGATTCCTTCATTCCTAATCAGTAGAGGTGTCGCGAGACTAACTCCCAATCCTTCCTAAATGCCTTTGCGCTATAGTCACGCAGTGGTTCTTAACCTTTTTTGAAACATTTACCCCTTTAGCGAACAAGATTTACCCCCAATATAGCCATTGGTTATCATTTATTAAAAATTCGTCAAGCTAAGTATAAAGAGCTCTAACTCTAGACGCAAAGCCTCTCTATCTCTCCCTTCTCTGACCCCACCTTCTCCCTTCATTGAGCTTCAGTTCAGCGTGGAAATGCGAGAGTGGGGTTCGGTGAAGGAGGAGCGGGGGGGAAGAGAAGAGTAGAATGGGGAGAAGGTAAGAATGGAAGTGGGAAGGAGAGAGAGTTGGGTGGGAGTGACGAGAGGAGGTAAGAATGGGAATGAGAAAGTGTTGAGATGGGAGAGTGACGGGAGGACGGAAGATTGGGGGAAAGTGAAGTGGGTGGCAGAATAGAGGGGGAATAGATGGGGGGTAAGAGTGTGGGGAAATTTCAGACATATCGATCTTAAAAGCTCCCTTTATTTTCTTTTTTTTCAAAACATTTCGAGCTAAAAACCTATATTACCAAATGAAGAATGAACAGAAAGGCTTGGACAGGAAGAAAAAAAAACACATTTAATGCGACCGCTACCCTTGTTTTTTTGCCAACCAGATCTTCAACGTCTGTTGAAATAACGAAAACTTGGAGGTGTTGGTAAAGGCCTACTGATAACAAGAGAGCTGTGCTCAAATATATGGACACGGAGAGCAAAACAAAATATATTATCATCATTTCCCTGAAAATCTTGCGCGGTAGCTTACCAGTACCTGTAGGCCTATCGGAGTACCGGTAACTGTACAGGGACTATACCAGCTTATCAAGTAGGAATCTTACAAAACGCGCATTTTCGCGCCAAAACATGTATTATATAGCATATATAATTATTGACGTTCTTAAAAACACTTGTAGTTTTGGACGTGAAAGAGATTTGGGATCATTTTACAAAGCCGTCACAACAAAAACACTCCGTCAACGCTCAAAATAAGAAAATTAGTACTCATCCAGATAAGGCTAGGAATGCAGACTTCGCTGGAAATTTCAATTTTATAAATCATTCCTAACCTTATCTGGATAATTACACATTTTCTATTCAATCTTCTAGTTCAAAACTTGACTGTGGTGTTGTTCTCAAATCTCCTATTTCTGAATTAGTGGCGGGAGATTTGTACAAAAAATCCGAGATTTTGCTGAAGTCTGATTTTCCTTATTTTAAATTCACTATAGGATATCGCACCAATACGTTCCCGTGTAAGCAATCTAGGCAAGTGGTTTACGGTAGAATGAAAATTAACTTTTCAATAACCATCGACATTTTGCAAATAATGGCAGTTTTGTATTTTGTGTTATTTTTGTGTTTTTAGATTAATGAATGCAGCGATAAGCCCTGGGTTTATGTATATAGCCTTCTTTGTAAGCGACCAATTTGGATGGCGTAAATTTCCGGCTTCGTCGAGCGCTGGAAAATATAGTGTTTTTGATGTTCCTATGATTTTGCTGCATTAAGAGTCAAGTGTATTTTCAATTTATCTGTATTCGAACTGGATTGTGAAACTTTACAATATACGAACATTTGGCATTCAATACATTGTATGCTTCATTGACCTCTGAAGGAATTCAGATCGGATTTACATTCCATAACGTGTGTCAATTCAATAACACGGGAATCGAATACGCATATAGGGCCAAACCTATCCCTATAAAGCTTTCTGTGGCAGAATATCCACACGATGGAGCCCGTCGTGCTGAACGATGCCGGTCAGCTGATAAGTTTGGTATAAAGACCATGCTTCTTTATACGTTGTATTGTTTATTTTTGCAAGCTCCCGGATTTTCTTGCTTGGCTATTTCAAATTACTCGGCAACTATGTTGAATTTCGAATTATGATCGTTTTTTTAAAATGCTTTTTCTTCTGTGGTGTAGCATATGTATGTTTGTGTATGCCACAAATGTATTCCAGAAGTGCATTCGCAATATTTGAAACAATTTGCCCGTGAAATTGTCAAGAAGTAAATATGATAACCCGCGTTGCAAGTTAAATATTGACTTTGAATAAACAATGCGCTCGCAGCGTAGCATGTACTAAGAAACACAGTGTCATCTCAACGCTCCATTTATCGCAATAAGGTGCGAACCGCGCGTAATTGGTGAATGTGAAAGCAGCTTTATATACAGATATATTTAGAACTTGGAGAAAATAAATATATCACAGCATGTTGTGGCTGGACTTCGGCGCGATTGTGTAACAGTTTAGAAGTTAGCGAAATCTGTTCAATCGGAAAATTAATTTTATATTTTGATTCCGATACAACTCTTATTCGGTGTCAATTTTTCCCTAGTTCATGATAACCTGAGTTGCGAGGAATATATTTAGAAATATATACAAACCTTAGGTGTTTACTATCGTGAACACTGATAATAAATGTTCAGTGAACAAAAATGCAGGAGTTTCTTGTCATTAGCAATATTCAGAATAACATTAAAGCTTATTGGTCGTCACAGTCTTTGTACATGGAAATTCCAAAACAAATTTCTGTTTTGAAAGTTGTTCCACGAATGTTCTGTAACATTTCGGCGAAAGGCGATACATACATGTTAACAATTAATTATTCATTAAGTTCAGTCAAAAGAAACGAGTTCGTGACCTTTAATAAGAACAATAATGTGCTCACCAAATTCACTGCTGCAAAGTAAAATCGAACTTCACTTAACGGGCATGGAAGTAAGGAATCAAAGGTTTTTTTAAATATACATCTATTACCAGTGAATTATAATATAAAAGTTTCGTTGATAGTGTTTTTATGGAGAGAAGTTCAGTCTGTTGCCTTATCTATGAACGTCAGATCAAGAATGTAGTTTGAACTTCGATTATTGTAAATTTGATTACATGCTGATCAAGCAAACATGCATAATATTTTGCAATTATGACTTCAGATATATTCAAGCATAAACATAGAAATGGCTTTTAGCGATGTTATAATTCATAGTTCATTTTTTTGCATGTTCGGAATCATCACTGTGATAGCTCTGATATTCGAAACCTTGAATAAATCGTACAAGTTTTACGTCACACACTTTTTAGATTCGTCCGTGGATTTTGCAAAATTTGGAAAATGGGCGATTGTTACAGGATCAACGGATGGAATTGGAAAAGCAATAGCACATGAGCTCGCAAAGCGGAGAATCAATATTTTTCTCATCAGCAGGAATTTGGAAAAATTGACAAAGGTTGCCGAGGAAATTGAACGTGCTTACAAAGTTGAGACAAAGATATTAGTGTTCGACTTCACCAATTTTGATCATTCGCCAGGCTCTGGTGATCCATATAACGTAATATCAGAAGCAATAAAAGATTTAGATGTGGGAATTATGGTTAATAACGTCGGGATGCCTACAGGAGGTGTAGATGTATTTCATAAATCTCAAAAACCTGGCGAAACTCTTTCAAAAACGATATCTAATCTGATACACTGCAACGCATCATCCAGAGTTAAAATGATGGAACTTGTTCTTCCCAGTATGATCGCCCGAAAAATAGGTTTGATTATTAACATCTCTTCTATGTCGGCTGCTTTCGCATGTCCAGTACTCAACACATACGCTGCAACAAAGCGTTTTGATGATACTCTATCAGTTTCCCTTGGGCAAGAATACAGAAAGCATGGCGTCATAATTCAAAGTATTCAACCAGGCTTTGTACAAACCAATATGACGAAACCTTTGGGATCCTCCACCAATTTAATTTTTCCGACGGCGACAACTTACGTCCATCATATGATGAAAACTATTGGAAAGTCTGATTGCACGAACGGTTACTGGGCACACACCATTTCGCTATGGTTAACCATGCTAATACCGGAGGATATACCGGCACGGGCAATGTTCAAAAATTTCATGAAGATTGGAAAACGACTGAAATCATAAAACACAAAGTAGAATTGGATTTGTGAATGAAGATACGTGCTATGTATAATGAATTGAGTAGTATGTTTTCGCAATGATTTCTTTTAGACAATCTTATCTGTCTCCACTTTTACCTTATTTACTCCTGAACTGGCTATCCTCAAATCGATAATTGGAGAAAAACAACCAGTTACGACTGAAATATTTAATTTGAATGATGTGTTGGTATCAATTATATCATTTTCGTAAAATACACTCTATGTGATTTGAGCATCATTTTGGAATAAATACGCGAATATCGATTGTATCTAGTTATCTGTGTCATTTTATTAGCCAGAATTAGTTGCTCGACGAAGAAAATTAACATACATATTGCATGGTGACGTTCGCCAATGATTGGAAAATTCAATTTGACCTTCAAAGCCTATAATACTAACCTGTTGAGTCAGAGTTAGAGTGTATGTAATAAGTACAGTATCAAAATGACAGGTGATCAGAAGGACGGATTGCTTCGTCATCTGGACTACAGCGCCTTTTGATAAATGAAGAAAATAAAAGAAACAAATAAAAAGAGAAGTAACAATATAGCACGATAGAATCAAATAAATTTCGGTTGCTCATTCGGCACACTTTAGTGATGACAGTATCAAATTGTGACCTCTAATAAATCGTTATGGGAAATCGACAAATTTAAATCACGTGATTGTCTGGGGGAACCCCGAGACTTGTGAACAAAAAAAGCATCCGCATGAAGTGACAACTAAATAAGACGGAATAAGTTTTAGTACTACGATCGAAATAATTAAAGTTTGTGAAAATGTATAACAATATTAACAGATTTGAACCGGTAAAATCAATATAATTGGCGTACAAATTAGTTACTAGTACCAGCACCGGCTGTATTTGAATCATATGATAGCGTTTACATCATGATATAGTCCATTTCTATGCTGTTCTTTAGTTATGCCTCGTGTCTTTATAGACATATTCGGCATAGCGTAATGAAATAATTGTAATATAAGTGACTTAGACATAGTGTGATCAATCACATTCCTATTACCATATCTGTACCTGTATTCCATTACCTGTATCTCAAGCTTTAGCGCAATGCTCGTGTCGAAAAACATCTCTACATGTCAGTCATGACCCGCTAGATTCTCAGGGATTATTTCGTGTCAAACGACGATGGCTTCAAAAAACAGTCAACGAATTGCAATCATTCTCTGGAAGTTCGGAAGGAGACAGTGTGCCAGTATATATGGCAGGTGTTTTTACGACCCTCCTGCGATAAATCTCCAAGAGGAAACGATTCGACGTTCTCAAAAACACTTGTCGTTTTTGGCGTGAAAGAGATTTGGGATCTTTTGTAGAAACCCCCCGGAAAAAACACTCCGCCAATGCTGAAAATAAAAAAATTAGTAATTATCCGGATAGGGTTAGAAATGCAGATTATGCTGGAAATTCAATTTTTTTAATCATTCCTAACCTTAACTGGATAATCCCTAATTTTCAATTTCAAAACTTGACTATTTCAAATCTTACATTTTTGCATTAGTGATGGCAGCTTTGTACAAAATATGCCAGATTTGGTTAATGTCTAAGTTCTCTTATGTCAATTCACTACGGAAAATTGCACCAAGAAGTTCCCGAGTAAAAAAAATCAAGACATTAGTTTGCGGTAAAAATTTCCCAACTTTTTCAATAACACATCGACATTTTGCATATAACTGCAGTTTTGTATTTTGTGTGAATGTAATATTTAGATTATGGAATGCATCTTCCCCTGAACGAAAACCGACGTACGAGAACTTGGTATCGTCCACAAGCATCACAGACATCTCAATGGGCCATTTCCAAGTGGGGTATTGTGCTTATATAGTGGTCTTGATTTTGATGTCGGCTACATAAGGTATATATATTATGTTTGTATATTCCTTGCTCTAAAGTCCGTGCGTTGTCCTTTGTATTGTAGGGATGTCTATTTGCATAGACAAAACAACTAAATAAACCTTTGATTCAGCGTGTAATCAAATGACCATATAGCCAATATAGTAGAATATTTTGACGTTTTGTGTTGTATTAGGGCAGATGGGAGCGGTCCAATCCCTAGCTTGACCTCTATCACACTCTCTTTCTGCGATTGCCTGATTTTCACTCCCGATATGTTTGTATAGTCACTCAATATACACATAAACACACGTGAAAGCAATGCACAACACAAAAAGTCAATATCATAATATGCATATACAGCCAAATTAATATACATATGCGGCCAATGGTGTAATGTACATACCCAACCAATGCAATATGCTCATATGAACTACTTAGTATAATTATACAGCCACACAAGTAATCTCTACAAGTCGCAAGCCTATGACAAATGAGTTAAAATGACCCTCAGAAACCTCAAAACGGCTCTTGATGGAACTTACAATGAGTGCACATGTATTAAATTAGTGTGACATTAGCATCATTAAGTGACAAGTCTCGACATGTTATTTGTGTGTAACGATGCATGCAATGTCAGCCGCTCATGGTGCATAAATACTTACAATAGGTTGCAATCTATGATGCCATGAGCCCACAACCGCTTATTGTGATAACGTGAGGAATGAAAATCCTGGCAAATAAAAAACATGGAAATTTAAAAGCAAAATTTTTGTGTTCATTTAGATGCCTTTGCAAAAACTCTATGAGCATGCGTCGCACTGGTGAAAAAATGTCCCATAATACTGACTTATTAAAAACTGACTTGTCCTTTATTGGAAAACACTGTCATTGTTCGGGTAACATTTTTCGATTCAATTTAACATGCCTTAGAATGAACCTTCCACCTTTTTTTAATTCTTTGGCATGTGCTTGGCTGAGTTTTTTTTTTACCGGCACCATGACACCATTTTATGCATAATCGTGTGAAAGAATACTGAAATATCAAGCTGATCCGGCTCCAAAATTAAAATTATTAATTTGTCCTTCAGGCCTATGTAAGTAAGGTCCGTCGGAATTTTCGATGTGTTTCCGTTTATTTTGCATTATATTTCAATGAAAACACACCCAATAGGGTGTATTTCTGGTTTAATGTGGATTCTAAACACGTCTATTTTAAAAAAAAAAAACGTCATATCATTTTAAATAAATGCCATTTCCAGCCCTTCATTGAAATTGTTGTTTTACGTCAGTAAACAGGGATCCATATTTTTGCAAATCGCTATGGCGTTGGAGCTGACAAATTGCTATTTGCACGATTTCAGGATGAGGATACTTGATAAAAGACTGTCGTACACCGATGCATGATTTTTTTTTCCGGAAATAGTCATCCAGTGATTTTTTCTGCTGTTCATTTTTTTAACAAAGATGTTATAGGATTTTATCATGAATCCCAGCAATGTTGTTTTATTTATTCTTTTGCATGTTTTGTTTAAATTCTTGTTTTTCGTTCCAATTAGCTTCAAGCAAGAAAAATAGTTTGTGACCCGCATGATCAGACATTGGCAAACTACGGCCCGCGGGCCAAATCCGGCCCGTCGGGTAGTTCAATCTGGCCTGTCTGATGCTACCCCTACTAAACTAAAGCCAAATTTTGATGTTGAGCTTAAATAGCTCAAAGAATTTGTTGAGATTGGAATTAAATATAGCTTTGGCACGAGACTCATTGTTTTCCACTTTTGCTTTTGTAACAGTGTAAATATTGTTCAAAAATATAACTTTTTACGCCGCACTTACATGGCCCGCCAGTCTAAGTAGGCAAAATTGTTGGCCCCTGAGTAAAAAAACCTGCCCACCCAGGCGCTAGATTCTCAGGCGGCGAGATTTTTCGGTTTTAATTAGGCTATTCCGTGTCGAATGACGGTGGACGTGTCGTTTGCCAATACCGATGATCGGTATAGTAAATACAAATTTACTAAATGTCGATGGAAAGGGAAGTTAGATAAAGTCTCTCTACCGGAAATTCCACTTGATACAAGGCGGTAAATATCATAGCAGAACAGCCGTGTAAAAGTATTGCGACGGAAACATTGTTGAACTTGTAGATCGCGTGATTGGGCATTCATACAAAACAAATTTCTGTATATATTCTTATTTCCAGTATATTCTGATGATAATGATTGCCTTAGAAGTATATAATATCACAATAGACCTTCGACGTTTGTTAGTTCATTTGATGAAGCATCGGGAACAGAACACGCTTGCTGTCGCACTTCTGAGCGGTAGTACTGGGGGTTTGATCAAACAGATTTGTTTCGAAATATTTGTTATAAAATACTAACCATCCCAATCAAGATACTATCTCCGATAGCTGTTCAGCCAAAGGTTGCATAATTTTTTTAATATTTGTAAAGGGACAGTATATGGACACAGGGCCGATGCTAGGAACTGCGGAACCCAATTGAAAATTCGATGTCGGGCCCCTTACTTTTCATAGTAAAATTTGTAGGTTTCCATATTTCATAAAAAAAAAACATACATATAAACCAAATAATAGACATTTATTACTTGCTATAAATCAGATTTAAAAGGTTTCAATAAGTTTCAGCTTTAAAAAGCTTCTTTCCCCTGATGCAACAGTTTTTGGCATAGTTAAATAATTCCTCAATGCATTGAAAACTGTTGTAAATTTATTGATTCCCATCAGTTGTTCAAACAGGGCAATGGGGCATAGAGCTTAATTTTAGGTCAGAAGAAAATTTTCAGAGCTTCAAGTTCTTCAGCCAACATATACCCATCAACATCTTTATTTTTTTCAATAACTAATTTACCTTCAGCGTTCTGACGACGTTGACGAACACGTCGAATTTGTATAATTCGTAACATCACAAAAGCTGCACGAACTAGATATAATCGGTCAGTTTGAAACACCTTTTATGACCGTGGATTGCCGTGGTATTTTGTTGTATGTTCTTATATTGTCGACGCAGGTCACATTGAACACACACTTAAATTAATAAAGAAAGATATAATTAATAGACTCGGATTACTCGTCAATTGAATACTCTGCGCAACTTCAATATCATTACCCAACAACATAACAGAAAAACATTATCCGTCAAAAAAGTGTGATATTTCACCTACCTGCCTAATTGCGGCGACGATTTCATGGAAATTTCCGGATTTTACCGATTTCCACTCCGCCTCCCTTTTTGGTAATTCTGACGGTGCCCCTGAACGTATTTCAAGATACGTCTTATCGAACCTTCTTTTATGACATTTTGTGTCGGGTTGATAATGCAAAATTCTAGGTAATAATGGTTCAGATAAGAATTTTGGAATCCTTTGTAAAAAGCCCCAACCAGAAAAAACACAACCGCCCTCGCTCAAAATAACAAATAAAAATCAAAAATAATCCAGTTACGATTGTGCGGGCTAGGAATGCGCGGGCTAGGAATGCGTTAGATTGCGCGGAAAATTTAAATTCTGCAATCTTTTCTAACCCGAACCTGAACCGCAACTAGGTTGCCCCTTCTTCATTAATGCCTATGGGTTTACCGATTCGACATCGTAACTAGGCTAAGACAATGGTTATTTTTAATCCATTGGTAAATGTATCGATGATCAAACGAAACAAGATGTATTGAAAATAGCGGTGCCAGTACTATAAGTAATCGCGCTCCCGTTTTCTCTATACAGTCCCTGAAGGTATGTGACTTCAAGCAAAACATACACCGAATCGGCTGAATGCTTTGCGGGCCGCACGAAATTTCTTGGCGGACCGCAGGTTCGTCATTTCTGTATTACAGGAGCCTGCCGTGCCGAAAGATACCGGCCAGGTAGTAGGTTTGTTTTAAAGACCATGCTTTGTACGTTGTATTGTTTATTTTTGCAAGCTTCCGGGATTTATTGCTTAGCTATGTCAAATTGCTCGACAACAGTGTTCAATTTCGAATTATAATCGTTTAAAACGCCTTTTCTGTGTTGGAGATATGTATATATGTATAACGAGTTCAAAAAGTGTATTTTGTACGTTCGGTTTAGGAGTAGAGATGAGATAGGCAACAAATGTATTCCAGAAGTGAGGCATTCGCAATAATCGAAGCAATTTAACCTTGAGTAAATATGATAAATCCGCGTTGCAAGTTAAACATTGACTTTGAATAAATAATGCGCCTATATCGTAGCATGTACTCAAAAACACAGTGTAACCACAACGCTCAATTTATCGCAATAAGGTATATATGTGAAAGCAGCTACATATATATATATATATACAGATATATTTAAAACTTGGAAGAAGGAAAATTATCACAGCTTGTTGTGGTTGGACTTAGGCCCGATTGTGGAATAGATCAGAAGTTGTAGAAATCTATTCAATGGGAAAATGATTTTTATATTTTGATTCCGATACAACTTTGTTATTCGATGTCAATTTTTCCTTAGTGCAGGATAACTTCAGTTGCGAGGAAATATATACAAGTCTTGGGTGTTTACTATCGTAAACCTGATATTAAATGTTCAGTGGACAAATTTGCAGAGGTTTCTTGCAATTGGCGATATTGAGAATAATATTAAAGCGCATGATTTTATTTTGAAGGGAATTTGCATCAGTTGCACTTTCTATAAACGCCAGATAAATAATGTGATTTGAACTTCGGTTATTGTAAATTTGATTACATGCTGATCAAGCAAACATGTATAATATTTTGCAATTATAACTTCAGATAAAGCATGAACATAGGAATGGCTTTTAGCGATGTTATAATTGATAGTTCATTTTTTACATGTTCGGAATTATCACTGTGATTGCTCTGGTATTCGAAACTGTGAATAAATCGTACAAGTTTTACGTCACACACTTTTTAGATTCGTCCGTGGATTTTACAAAATTTGGAAAATGGGCGATTGTAACAGGATCAACGGATGGCATTGGGAAAGCAATAGCACATGAGCTCGCAAAGCGGAGAATCAATATATTTCTCATCAGCAGAAATTTGGAAAAATTGACAAAGGTTGCAGAGGAGATTGAACGTGCTTACAAAGTTGAGACAAAGATATTAGTGTTCGACTTCACCAATTTCGATCATTCACCAAGTTCTGGTGATCCATATAACGTAATATCAGAAGCAATAAAAGATTTAGATGTAGGAATTATGGTTAATAACGTCGGAATGCCAATAGGTAGTGTAGATGTATTTCATAAATCTGAAAAACCCGGCGAAGCTCTTTCAAAAACGATTTCTAATTTGATCCACTGCAACGCATCATCCAGAGTTAAAATGATGGAACTTGTTCTTCCCAGTATGATCACCAGAAAAATAGGTTTGATTATTAACATCTCTTCTTTGTCGGCTGGCTTCGCATTCCCCGTACTCAACACATACGCTGCAACAAAGCGTTTTGATGATACTTTATCAGTTTCTCTTGCGCAAGAATACAGAAAGCACGGCGTCATAATTCAAAGTGTTCAACCAGGATTTGTGCAAACCAATATGACGAGACCTTTAGGATCCTCCACCAATTTAATTTATCCGACGGTTACAACTTACGTCCATCATATGATGAAAACTATTGGAAAGTCTGATTGCACGAACGGATATTGGGCGCACACCATTTCGCTATGGTTAACCACGATACTACCAGAGGATATAACGGGGCGGGCTCTGTTCAAATACTTCATGAAGGTTGGGAAACGACTGAAATCTCGAAACACAAAGTAGAAATGAATTTGTGAATGAAATTACGTGCTATGTATAATAAATTTAATTTTATGTTTTTTCATTGTCAACAATTTTCGGATGTTGTCATGGTTCCCGTCTAATTGAATATCCACAAATGCTACATTTTCAAACTGAAATGTGACTAATGAATCACGCCAGTGTTTGAAATCAAAGCACAAAATCGGGCGGATGCTTTCCGCAATGATTTCTATTAGACAATTCTTATGTATAACCATTTTCACCTGATTTACTCCTAAATTGGCTATCCTCAAATCGTTCATTGAAGAAAAACAACATGTTACGACTGGAATATTTGAATTGAATTCTTTAGTATCAATTATATATCATTTCCGTAAAACACACTCATTGTGTTTTTTGCAGCTTATTGGAATAAATACGCAATTATTCATTTTCTCCAGTTATCTGTGCAAAATTAGACTCCGAAACCTAACGGGTAGGAACTAATTGATTAATTAATTAGATTAGTTAATCTATTGTGGTTCATAGACTCGGCGTAGCGTAATGACGTAATTGGAATATATTATACTTTGACATACTCGTGATCAGTATGTTCCCCAGCTTTTTATTTTAGGGGGGGGGGGGTGTTTCGAAATTTAGGGGGTGGTAAATAATTTACTATTAGAGATAATACTAGGTTATTTGTATTCTTAAAAAAATGGTATGTATTTAAGAAACGATGTAGCCTACATGAGGGGCCCCCCAAGTTGATTGACGGCGAGCCAAAATCCACAGCAGAATAAAATTGTAGGGCCAGAAAAGGGGAGCGAGGAAAAGTGCGAGATGACACGGCTGGGGTTCAGGGCGCGCTTAAGCGCTCTGAGAAAATTTTGAGAAATAGGCACCAAAATAGGCTCTAAGCTTGATTTTAGATACACCTAGCATCGCGGTTTGTTATGTAATAAAATCAATAATTATAATATTTAGCTGATAGAATTCCCGGGAAATAGATAACAAGCACGGCTTTCAACCGTAAATATATATATACTACTACGTTTCAACAAGTAATTTGCAACTGACAGTGACTAATGAAGTTACTTGCTCATCTGGCATTGTATGAATGGCTACTTATGGCTTGTTTTGTTACACATTTCACATTTTTTTGAACATCTGTGTTTGACTTTTGTATGAATTAAATTTTGAAATACGCGCGTCAACTGATCATAATGGCGCATAATGTTGTATTCCTTCAGAACTGAAATATTTTGTTGGTGAGAAGACAAATCGCTGAAGTTCGATTCTTTTCAATAAAGAAATAAAAACGCTGTCATTCATCTAAAAACGTCTGTTTTCAGTGCCTAGTTTTCGTTTTGTGACATCTTTAAGCTTTCTTAATATACGGCAAATATCTAAAATACTGAAGTGTGTAATCCTAATACCCATACGTGTACATAAGATACCGTCTAACTCAATTGTTACGAAATAAACGTGCTTAAACTGTGATAATGATGTAACAATAGACGGTATCTAAAACTCAAAAGGTACTACATTAAGGGTTAGCTCGTTAAACTATTTCACTCAAGTTCGGCGGGCCATTTTAAACCGTCACGCCGGCCGTAATTGGCCCGCAGACTGCGGTTTAGAACCCCTCATCTACACTGATAAATATGCCATAGTCGTTATATTTGAATACAATTATACTTGAGTTAGGAAAAAAAGTGTGGAATCGCACCTCAAAATTTAGGGGGGGGGGGTTGAAATTTTAGGGGGGGGGGGTGTTCACCCCCTATAGGGGGGGTGTAGGGAAATCACTGCTCGTGATCAATCATATTTTCAACGCTATAACCAATGTAGATTGAAATGGATCTATGTAACGTCTTTGTCATGCTTCAAAAGTTGACCGAGTTATTTGAAAGTTTATTACTATTTGAAGCGATCAAGCTAATTTTGGAACATGACAAAATATGAGAATCGTATACGCATGAATGAACAGTCTGAGAAATTACTCTAGCTAGAACGCTTTTGACTAAGAATCTTGATTATAAAACACTGGCTGCTCAGGGGTGTGTGCTTAGGGTGGTTGCGTTTGCCGCCAATGTAGCCAAGATGCATATTTGAGATGATATCATATGTGACATGCAAACTGCAATATCATTGTTTGAGCAGGCTTCTCTTGGAATTTTCGCCTTCAACAGAATTGTTGTCGGAATTTTCCACTGAAGTACAAAAAATGTAAGGTTGATATGTAGTTTATTATGAGTAGAGTTAGACGAGCAATGTTAATATGTGTAATAGATTATGTGCAATATATAATCGGGAAACTAGCAATCCATTATATGTCAGAATAGGAGTCAGTCATCAAGGTTACTATTGTACCTATAGAATTTTTTTTTAGATATTTGAACCCACGCTAACCCTAACCCATGTATTTTAGCACCCTCATAGATTGAACCCGCGGATATACGGTTGCAAATGTATGGTTTCAAATGTACGGTCACCATCTTGAAATTATTATCGGCAGGGCAGAAAGCCAACTAAAAGTCAAAAAGTAGAACAATAACGCAATACGTCATTTAAATGCTGATGTTGAAAAAAATTAGTGCAATAAACTATGAAAAAAACAAACTAAGAAACAGCAGTAAGACAGATTCACTGAATACAATACTAGTTATCATTAAATTTAACCCAATTCCAAATAAACAATGTTGCATGTCATATGAGGAACCTGTTTCGGTTTCAAAAAAAAAATGTACAGCAGAAAATATAGAAATCCCTCTGAAGCAACAACATCAACTTCAAATGATCTTCGAAATCCTCTATGAAGTAATATAATGTACTATTTGAAACCTCTTGTTTCGTATATTTTTTATAAAATTAAGTAACTTCATATTTAGACATATTTTTGGATGTTTTGTTTTCCAATCTAGATATTTTTTTAGGTCAATCTAGTTTTTTTCAGCGCTGCTAGGGCATCTCGTTGTCTAAATCCGGCCCTGACGTAGGTTATTCATTTGTCATGGTATAATAATTCAACTGATCAATAATTTGTTTGTCAGCAAAAAGTACGAAAGTGGGCCTAAATGAATGAATGAATATACCAAATAAGTGTACCATGAACGTAGTTTGTGTGACAGAAGTCGAGAAGTCTTCGAGCTGCAACGCTGATTCAGGATGCTAACATGAAAACAACTGCGAGTGACAACTATGAATCAGTTGAAATTGTGTAAAAATTGCTTATTATATTAGGAAAAATTCTGGTGCCAGTGCAATAATGGAGGATTACATAATTGTCGAATAATAAATGATTAAAATAGGTGAACAGCATGATTTCATTTTTTCAATTTATTCATTTTTAGAAATTTCATTCTACGAATAGAATTTTGTTTCAGACATTAACATCTTATTCAAAGTACGTAATTTGGATGCATTGGCGTCATATCGAAAAAGAACTACGGTATATATATAATTTATACAAGAGTTAGAAATACATCGGGTACAATATATATTTTTGAACCCAAACCAGGATCTTGGAATAATTTTCAACCAGATTATAATCCACATAGATGGAGTGATGATGGATTTCACCGACATAGCTAATGAAGGTTTCTTATTGTATGGAATTGGAATACTAACTATAATATATGTGACAATTAGGATAGCACTTGGACTATACTATTTATGCACCGCATATTTCATCGATTCATTCTTAGACTTAACTGCATTTGGGAAATGGGCAGTGGTTACTGGTTCTACTGACGGTATTGGTAAAGCGTTTGCTGTCGAACTCGCAAAGCTAGGTCTCAATATAATACTTATAAGCAGAAATCCCGAAAAACTGAATCAGGTATCCAAAGAAATCAAGGAACATTACAAAATCGAAACAATGACGATTGCTTATGACTTTACCAACTTTGATAGTACAATCGACGAGCCGTCGCCCTATGGAGTGATATCAAGTGTAGTCAGAGATCTCGATGTGGGCATTCTGGTTAACAATGTTGGGATGCCGAGTCCTAAGACGGCAGCATTCTTGGACGCATTCAACGATGGCGAATCGTTAGCATTATCTACGACTAATCTAATTCATTGTAACGCATCGTCAAGAGTGAAGATGATGGAAATAATTCTACCAGGAATGGTGAACCGAGGGCGAGGATTAATTATCAATGTATCTTCACTGGCATCGTCGTTCACCTGCCCCATGCTATGCGCATATGGTGCATCCAAAAGATTCGACGATACTCTCTCGCGCGCCTTGGAGAGGGAATATCGTAAGCACGGTATAGTAATTCAGAGCATTCAGCCGGGAATAGTGCGAACAAATATGACCAGGCATGTGGTGAAAAAGTCAAGCATGGCAATACCCACTCCCGAACGATACGCAAACTGTATGATAAAAACGATTGGAAAATCGACAGTGACAACAGGATATTGGGCGCATGAACTGATTCGGTTGTTTTATGCGAGTTTACCAGACTTGCTGGTTCCCTGGATTATAAAGTGGCGCTTGCGACGTCTAAATCAAGCAAATTAGCTATTTCGGATATCAAAATGAAGTCAAAATACGAGAGAAAAACATTAACATATGAGAAAAGAAGTAACATACAATTGCTTGAGGCAATACCAGCTAAATACCATTTTTAAATGCATTTTCTATTTGCTATTTTCTGAAGACATGCTGTTGAATTCTACTGCGATCATTGGTTAATCATATGTTGAACCTCTTGTCCGGTTGCTAATCTGGGTCAATTATATGAATATGTAAAAAGACGGCTACTTTGCTCCACATGCAGAGACATGGAAGGTGAAGAAAGTTGAAACAAACCATCAGATACTTGGAACTGACTGTGGTGGTGCTACTCTCTCACATGATTTTTTTTTCACATAAGATTTGAACCTGTCTTAACCCATGCAAGGTATTAAACACATATAAAGATAATCCATGGAATATTCATGTTAGAGTATTGAATATTGAATTCCACATGTGTTTATATCCATTTATGAAAAAATAATCTAAAATTTTCTACGAAATAAAATATAGAATAGATAAGAATTTAGTTCCCAGCAACCTTAGTTTTAGATTTTCGAAGCTGTTTAGGAGCCGAAACAGTCACGGTTGTGAAAAAAATTTCAAGTCTGTTACCTAAAAAAGGAGGTTCAGTTATCTCTTTAACAATAATTACATATTCTCCAGGATTAGCACCTTTCTCAGATGAAACTTTTTGTTTCGAAGTGACAATTTTACCCTCCGAACTTGATGAAGATACTGCACTTGCTGTTCTGCTTCCCTTTGACCTCTTAGATTTAGCATCATCAGGCACTTTGTTGTTGGGAGGAACGTAAGGCAAAAAAAGATTGTCAAATCCAAGAGTTCCGTTATATACTGTTCTAGTTGGTGTAGTCAGATTATGCCATGATCTAGATTCAACGGAAACAGTTGAATCTGTTATTGAAGGTTGCTTTATAAGTAAACTCTCATCTTTTATTTCACAGTCTGATTTGTCTTCATGTGATTTTGATTCACTAACTTCTGAAACATTTGGTAAACTTTCGCTGCTCTGTCTTATGACCTTTGATGTCATATCGTCTTTCCCATTGTATGGTTCCAACTCAACAATGGGATACGATAAAATATCATATCCGAAAGGAGTTGATATAGGTTTTTCTTCTATATCTTCTATTAGTTCTAGAAGAGACTGGTTGCTTTTGCTTTGAGGAACATATTTAAATCCAGCAGAAATTTCAAACTTTCTGCCACATTCTTCAATCAATATATTACCATTTCGATCAAGTAATTGCAATTTCAAATTAAAAGCTTGTCCTTGCAGACAATGATTTCCTGTTGTACTGTCAGCAGGAGCAATTTCTTTCGCAATTAATGCAGGCTCTCCATTGAGCCACAGACCACTGTATGAAATACCACTACAATGGGATATTTTACCTTCACCACTGAATACATCTGCATGCCATTGGCCTTCATAGAATCCGCCATCAGCAAATCGCATTAGGCCGTGTCCTTGTCTATTACCTTTAACAAAGTCACCTTCATAAACATCACCATTTTTAAATGTTAAAATACCATGTCCACTTTGTCTGTTATTATACCAAAATCCTTCATACTCATTACCATGTTCATCCCGATATACACCATTTCCATGTCGGCAATTGCTAGAAAATTCACCTTTATATTGGCTTCCATTTGCATAATTCAATACTCCATGGCCATGCATCTCACCAAAATGAAACTCACCAGAATATGAATTACCACTTTGTTGCCATTTACGGAATCCGTGTCCCTCTATTTCACCCTCCTTGAACTCTCCTTCATAATAGCTCCCGTCAGCCATGATAAGTTTTCCATGACCATGTTTTTTCCCTTTGAACCAGTCACCTTCGTAACGAAAGAATTTGTTTGCATAATAATAAATTCCAATTCCATCTCGAAGTTGATTCTTTGTTTCGCCCGCATAGAAATTGGTTCGTATGACAGCACTCATTACTTTAGATATAATAGGGTAGTCAAACAATATTCTGCAATTAAAAACATATTATTTAATAATTTATTGTTTTGCGCTACAAAAACAATAACATTACTAAACTAATTTCCTCCAGTATATCTCGCCAAATTCTAATTTAAGCCAACGTAGTTCTAATGTAGTTTTTTTTCAGTTGGATGAGGTATCTACAATGTAGTAATGATTAAACACAATTCACTGGAATGAAGTTATGAATATATACAGACTATTTTAAAATGAAACTTCTTGACCAATAGACAGATAGAAGGATAGACTTGCATATTTATCCCAGTGGAGAGGAAAGCTGTAAAGACTGTTTATTTACATTGCGGAACCGTGGCCACCCGCTCTGTCCATGTTGGGTAGGCTACCGTATTAGTTCAGTAGTTATAACAGTTACCGATAGCCAGTTCAGCAGTTATTCGTTTCAGATTCATGGACTTGATGGTGGAAGAAGCCGTAACCCAAAAGCTGTTACATGAACCACCCTACGGTGGCAAAGAGTCTAGCAATCCACTTTGACATAATTATTCCAACAGGATTCGAACCTGCGAACCCCCGCAGAGTATTCAGAGGTGAAGTGGCAAGAGTACCGGTACCTTATTCTAAAGCTTAGCACGATGTGCCACACCGCCGAAGCTGTTATTTAATTCACTAATCAGCTACTGGTACCCGTAATGGGAATGGTCTAACTTATATTTTATTAACACTAAAGTAAACTAGTCTAACTTACCGTACATCTACAACCTGACAATAAACTTCTCAATGTGCGGTACCGGTACTGGACGAATAACCGTGACGCGCCATATAATTAGATTTCGTTATGAACTTCATTTACTCTCTCCACGATAAATATGAAAATGCTGTCATAGTCTACTCAAGTTTCATGTATCTGGGATTAATAGTCAATGAAAAGTAGGCCTACATCCACAATTAACTTAATCGCGACTGAACGTGAATGGAGCAGGAGAGTATCAAATTTCCTTGACAACCGAAATGCCGATTGTGGTGTATGGAGTCTTGACTAATAGTATTATAAAGTAAATGTAACCCTCTCCGGCCTCTCTATCGTTTAGCAGTGGGGAAGAAATGATATTTAGTGAAAGCAATACTTTTAGGTCATATATAATAAATTTTTTGACACTCCGACTCCTTGGGGGAACTTACCGGATGTTGCACTATTGCAAATTCTGCAAAGAAAAGACTAATTCTAAGATATCACATGTATGTTGCTCAATCGACTTTCCTCTCCCACGGGATAAATATGTAAATTCTATCCTAATTTGCAATACTTTGTAACATGACCAGTATGTATACCACGATGGTTGAAAATATTAATGGGATTGTCAAACTTATTTCATGGCTCAATTCAAAACTTCAATTATGATAAAAGGCGCATTCAAATGTAAACAAATGATAATGTAGATCATGTTTTTGCCTTCTAGGTAGTTTCTTAAGTCAAAATATTCAAAAAATGCATATGAGTTGTTCCTTGACACTTTCGTTTACCTATTTCTTTAAAATTATTTTAAACTGAATTTCTATAAGTATTGAAATGCCAGAATATAGAAAATCTAGCTTTTACATCAAAATATTTTTGCATTTACTTGCTGTTATGTATTTTATCGAAGAACGAATTCTTAGCGTGAGAGTTCTTTTGATCACGCTACGCTGCAAAGAAATAGAAACAAATTTTTTTGGTAGCAGAAAAATCGTTGGCAAATTCTGTGTTTATTCACAGTTTTAAGATTTCGAGATTTTTCTCTTTTTACTTCAGACTTTTTACTTTAGACTCTTTTTTACTTCGTTTGGATTTATCGACCGGCCATGCCCCCACTCTAGAAGACGCTCTAAAATCACGGCCAGCGGTAGTTTTCTGCAACATTTGTGTTCAGGGGTCACTTCCATTTTTGTGTATACATTTATTGTTTTGCTCAGCAATTAGTATAGATTGGTTTATGAGTGAATTGCAATACATTTATGGTGTTGTCAAAAATTAGGAGCAGAGAAAAACTGTGCTCCCCCGAACTTTGAATTAGCTATTCTTTTTATCTGGGTGGACTGCGCCGCACTCTGACTTTCAAAACACGACTAAGTTTTAACTCTAGATTTGTTTTTAGATGGCTATCGTCTGTACATATATATTCCCACAGTCAAAATGCTGGAATGATCTGATTTTTTAGGCTCAAAATCTTACCTACATAAATATCGTTTTGGAAATTACGTGTTTTATCAAGATCAGCGTCATCATATTCATAAATTGTAAGTCTTAATTGCCTTTTTATCTGAAAGTGTTGCATTAGAAATACGCGCGAATTCAATACAATTTCTGCAAAAATTCTACCCTTTGGCATTTTTGCAATTGTTCTGCTAGATCACTGAAAATACAAAATAGGAAATCTGAACCAATATCTTCTCTATCATTCTAAACACGTATTTATGGCTAATATACCCCGATTTCATTTGGTTATAAATCTAAACTAAACCGACGAATCTTAGCTAATTTAACAACCGAAATTCCCTTCTGAGGGAAGATGTTGCACCTATGCAACACTAATTTTAAACCACCCCCTCATGAAAACACATAAACCGTTCGAGGTTGCAATCAGTGTGTAAAGCTTCTGTATACACTATTCTTTTGTCCCGTGTACAGATATGACGAATTCGGTGTATAATAATTGATATCGTTGCTTAAAATATGACCATGGTTCACCAGTCTGACACGAGCACCGGAGACCGCATCTTGCAAAAGACGCTTGCAGCGTCATCAGGCGGCAATGCAAAATAGTAGTTGCAACTAAGTACCGCAGTAGTATATATGTTTAATAGAAAAAAGCATTCTGCGGCAGAAAATGTAATTCATGGCTAATTTACAATATGTTGTTGCATACGTGTTACGCATTCCCGGAGAGGTGGAAAAGCGCCTTGTACTTTCATACTACACACACAACTTCACGGTAGTCGGCATACCATTTTCACATGATTTGCAATCCACCGTTACCTGTTTCTTGGTTGACTGGGCCACCTGTTGCCCGCTTTTTACATAACATAACGGTATGCGATTTAAATGTGATTGGAAAACTACCGCTGCTGATAAAACTCAATGGCTAATTAAATTCCCATATTAATATTCCCATATTTATCTCGCATCAGAGATTTAAAAAATGTTAATCGAATGGAAAACCAACCTTTTCCATCATTTTCAGTTCAGGTCTCTGTGGGTACCCCATTAGCACGGGTCGGCAACCTTTAGCTTTGAAAGAGCCATTTGGTATACTAATATTGCCATTTGGTATATCGTTAAACTCAAACCTACTCGGAGCCGCAACATCTAGGCTACTCTAATGTCAGTGGCTATTAAAACTTGTAAAACCACCTATGCTTCAATATTCTAGTTATTACTAAGAAGAATCCAACTAAATTACGATTGATGCAATAATTCAATTTACGACGAAATATAAAGATCTTGAAAAATGAAAAGAAAAATTTTGTCTTGACAGATTTGCATCGCCTTGATGCGACCTAGTTTTACCACGCTCGACTCACACCTGTTGTAATTGGTGAGTCTAACCGACTTTATGCCCCTGACTTTCATTGAATCCCCATTGCTTAAAAAAACTGCTGTTAGAGCTCCGAAAACAAATAGCCACATTCGGCTCCGGAGTCGCAGGTTGCCGATCGCTCCCCCAAAGAGTACTAATTAATCGTAGCGGATAAATGTGAGGTTTCTTAATTTCTTTTATTCAATTACTCGACGCGGCCGATCCATTGGTCGCGCTGTATCACTTGAAAATTTTACGGTAATATTATAGATCTCGCCTTCTACTTTAATCCTCCTACTTTAGTGCAAGATTCCTGGATCTAATTTTCTCTCTGGATCCAATTTTTTGACCTCCTCAGTAACAAATCTTTACTCTACAATTTAAAATTAATTCATTTACAGTTGCAAAATATGTTCAACCATATTTACGGTTTAACCCAGCAATAAAAAATTTCTCCTAGCAAATGTTTTAACCACATTTATTTATCATTATTTATTCATTCAATTGGCTCTTTCTCGCATTTTCCAATCTCTCGTTTTCTGTCACAGAATGTGTTTTTATTCACTCATTATTATGCATGCGCTAATGGGTAAATCAAATTTAACTGAGTGATGTTGCTTCAGTTACTGCAAGCCCATGCGAAGATCAGAGCCCACGAAGATTCAACTTTTAAATTGCCCACCAACGATTAAATTTGTGAGCAATATTTCATTTTTATCGGATCGCTTTAGAATGCTTTATTAAATGGTACTACATAGAGAGCATTTTAAAATCCAGTTAATAGGAAATTACAGAATGACGAAGAAGATAATACACTGGTACAAGTCAAAAAATAAAAACTGATATACACGTAAATCAGATAAAATGATAAAATCAGAAAATAAATCAGAAAACACTCAAGAATCGTTTGTAGAAATCCCCCTACTAATGCGAAAATGTGTGATTTGACGAAAACAACACCCCCGCCAAGTTTTGAAGCACTGCGGACTGCGCTCACCGCGTTAGCGATGGCGAAGGCTTTCTACAAAAGATCCACACTTGAAATAAAAATATTACTTACTCAAATGAGTGCAATTTGATATTTCCATCTTTATGAAATACTGTCTACCAATACATCAAAATGATTAGCGCATTCCGATACAGTGCATAGACGTGCATAGTCACCATGCCTTTCAGTGATGTGACGTTATTACATCGAATATATATTTATAGTTAAATAGGTTTTCAGACATACATTATGTCTTCATCGGAGGAGTTGTAGTTACATGATGGGCATTGCGCGTGTAAGATAAATCGCTCTTTGTGCGATTGGTAATCATAGAGGTTGTGTCATCGGGTGACGGTGTGTTCGATGCGCTTGGGGCACGAGACAGATCGGGACAGATTTCCCTCGGGTATGGAACGGCGTTCTGCGCAGAAAGAGAAATTCCGTGGCCAAAAGCAAGTCTATAGGTTTCCTGGACATCACTAGAGAACATTCCAATACGTGGATAAAATGCAGACGGACTAAGTTGCGGCGTACAGTATGCGTGCGACTTTTGGTGACCCAATGTTTGTGCCGCCAGCATCGAAAAGTAAGGAGACTGCGCATTGTCCACAAGAGAGGCTCTTCTCTGATAAAGCTTGTTGGGCACGTCAAATTCGGTTCGCAGTGGGTTAAATGGAGATCTTTCTACCATTTTCAATTCTTCATCCATGCAAATGTTTTCACGTGTATCCGATTTGTTCGATCTACTAGTAGGAGAAACTCCTTGCCCATCGGGAAATTTGGAAACCGCATCTTTACGAGATAAATACCCATTTGCTAGCAATGCTTGCGGTCGAATCGGGTAAGCTGTGTCCTCAGTAGGAGATAATGAAGATGTTCTTGACAATGTACTATGTTCTGGCGACGTTGAAGAGACAACCGGGGGAACCATGCTACCAGTCAATGCAGGATGAAAGGAGAGTGGTCCTGGGAATCTGTGATCTGCTGAAACAACAAGGATCTGTGAATTATTTGTGGAATTTATCCCGTATTACCGATGTATCTCAAACTTAAAATGGCTGATTCATGAAGGAAAGCTAGCTTATGATGTACTTAAATAGTATGAATATATATTAGTTTCAAGTCTATTTTTTCTATACTATTTTTGCTTCCAGAAGATTTATTTCTTACCATAATAATGTGGCAATGTAAACAGAGGATTCGGAGCATTAACAGACATCTGTGACATTAACATTGCGTATACAGGGTTCAAAGCAAGTGGCCACGAGTGCGTCATTCTTTGCCGCTTGTCCTTCATTCGACGATTTTGGAACCAAACCTTAGAATAAATTCAAAAAATGTTACATAAAATAATAATAAAACGCAAAAAGTGTGATGTTGGGGGACAAAATCCTGATTCTGTTCTCGCATAATATTCGTGGTGAATGAAATCATGAATCTGAAAAATCTCAAACGAAATCGTATTTCTCTTTATTACTGTTGTAAGGTAATTAAAAAACTGAAAAATCGATTCTTTCATGGTACCTTTATCGTTGTTTCGGGTAGACCTAACTCTTGAGCCAGTTCGCATCTGCGAGGTCTGGAGACGTAATTTTCTCGCAGGAATTCTTTTTCCAAGCTAGCGACTTGTTCTCTGGTGAATGCTGTTCTATAGCGCCTAACTGCGGAGGGGTCAGACATGTCATATTTTCCTCCACTATCGCTGCTTTCGGTGCGTCCAACATTACAATGTGTTCTGTGGTCTGGACTCTGTAATAAATATTGTAACCCGATTAACACAATTAATAATACCATACTACCATGTTATCGTAGTTTCGAACGTTTCCTTGTGAATCTATGTTACATTATTTGGCTCTCCAGAAGTAAGTGTACCAATATGAAGGTAACTTATTTTATTCGCCTACTTTACATCAAGTTGTGTAAAGGAGCGGAAGCCTATGGACAGAGTCTGCGCAGGGAGTATATTCACTTGGCTAACATAAACAGTCCCCGAACTCGTAATAGAACTAAAATAAGGAAAATCGGAATAAAATTATGGCCTAACCTGGTACACATACTACGGGAGTAGGCCTACCCATTATTTTATGTCAATTATCTACTTACCGAAATATTAGAAGACGACAACATCTGTTTAACGTCGTCATGCTTTTGTAAAGCTGTATTCGATCGGTCGGTTACAATTTTATCATTTGTTGATGTAAGATCATTCTTTCCGTGATATCGGCTATAAGAATCAAACAAGCCGGAAGGCATCAATTTTTCGTTCACTTTTTCATAATCATCGACTTCCCTTTTAACTCTCTTGTAAGGAATTATGGATTCTGCATCTTTTTCGCGGTATTCGTGCCTTTCATCTTCATCGTGGACTTTTCGTGTCAGTAAAGAGGAGCCAGACATTTTGCAATTTTGTAAGGGAGAATTGCGATTTACCAGGGAATCAATCGAATGTGGAATAGCAGGATTTTTCATGGAGTGTAACTGAAGATGCTTGGATGGGTGTGCACGGGGACTTTGCATTCTGAGTTCAACTGATGATGACTTGTAATACTCTTCGGTCCGTTTTGATGATTTTTGTTGATTCAGTCTGCTTTAAGAATTAGTTACATTTTTACGCGACGGTAATTCAATACGACCAAAGTAAACCACATCTAGATAACTTCAATTTTTAGAATCGGAGATTTGTGAGTATGTTATTCGATAATTCCCAATTTTTACGTGTTTTATTTGTTTCACTTGACAAAATAGATAACAAAACCACTGTATGCCAGTCTTCGAGGTATGTCATTTTCAGTATAAGGTAAATTTTGTTGATGTTTTCCTGCTTTAGGTTGTCTTATATTATATTATCCATTATTACTTAGAGAGAAAGACGCGGTAAAGTAGCAACGAGTATTATTTGTTCTCACTCTTAAATAACAGCATATATGATAGCTTCCTGGTTTATTTAAATGAACTTGATAGTATCAATTTACATATATACAGCGCATACCTTGAAATTTTTTCTTTCATGAACTTCTTTTCTTCTTCTCGTTCAGAAGATGTTTCACCAAAAGTTTTATATTCGTATTTGATATTATGCTCAACACCGTCTCTCATATCGTGTATTTTTTATCTCTGAATTATTTTCAGTTAATTACAACAAATTACTTCTGAAACAAAAACAATTATTTAAAATATAAAAATGAATACTACTAAAAAAAATTCTCCACAAAAGTTATAGTGATATTTTGCAAATGCAGAAAGTATCATTTATGTAAATTCTGTTTTTCCCCTCGAATATTCTTGAAAGCAGCAAAGTTTTATTACAACACTTTTCAGTTAGAACTCTGAACACTTTAGCTTCTGCCATTTGCTAAATGGGTACATAATCATTCAACTAGTATGCTGAGAAAAAATTCATATCTGACTTGGTTGAACACAACCTTCGTCAGACCTGTTCGGCTGACTAATAATGGCGGGGTAATTGATTCCAGGACTTATATATCGCAAATCAAAAACCATTAGCCCCGTGTCGTCAAAATCCGATGAAAATGAAAAACGGCAATAAAACCAGATGCCTGCGATGTATTTTCGGAATCACTGTGGAAACGGAGATCGAAATTGAAATATATATATATGTATATATTTCCCATTGAAAAATTAAATTAAAAGGCAAAATAAAATCACATGCATCATGCGACAGCTCGTAATTGCGTCTTGGCGCCAAACGCGAAATAAAATATGTCATTAATGCTGTTTTGTCAAACATCTATTTGCGAGATTCTATTTGCTCATCTGTCATATAGTCTTTTGTTCGGCATTTTATATGTCTAATCTCTTCATGAAATTATTTCTGGGTGCTGGGCTATAAAATGATAACTACAAACAGTAGCAGTTATATGAGTCCTATTTCATTTATGAAATTATCAGCCCATTTACGTAATATGAAATCATAAAATATCTCCGTTGGCAAAATATTCATATTAGCTTACTAGTCTTATCTAGGCCTAGTATGACGCGACAAAAACCGTGTATAGACAGGGAGTTGTCCGCTACAATCAAAGTAAAGAATAAATTTTAATGAACACAGATGAATAGAGGGAAATAACCAAAAGCGTTGGTCGTCCGTTATCGACTTCTTTATGGTAAATCAAATTCTGGCTCCACATCAATTACGCTAGAGACGCGCTTCTTACATCAAAAATTGGTCTTAAAATACAATTATCAGTGACCGTACAATGACCTCGCTTTTCCTATTTTGTTTTCCGCGGAAATAATAAACTGTTTACATTGACCTTCATAGCAGCAAAAGACTATTTTAGGAACAAACTTTTAAGTTCACTTTTTGAGATGTAATATCTGAAATTATAGCTTCGATAACTTATAGTTTATTATTTTTTTAGTCGTTGTACAAAATATATTATCATCAAGTCAAATGGATAAAATACTCCTACACTGCTGACAGAAGCAATCATTGGAAATTTTCATGTTCATTTTTCTACATAATATCAGACGGCAGTCGTCAAATTGAATTTGAATTTTCAATGGAATCCTCCATTACCAAGTGAAGGCCATGCATGGGCTTAATATAAAAGTTCCAGTGGGTTTGAAATTGCTTCTCCAACCAAATTCCCAAAATTATAGCGCGTTTTATGGGCTATTACAGTGCAATTCATGATTGCATTGTCGGAGACGAATGAATACGTTCGATGCCTAATGAAATTTATGTAGTGGCGCCCTAATGTCCCCCTCATAAAGTTGTCAGTGGCTTCCATATTACGCTCGACAAACATGGAACAATAGCCCGACGGGGCTGACCCAAGCCCATCCCAAAATTTTAATATTACAACCAAAACGTTACTCTTTATATCTTATATTACAGAAACGTGACTGAAAGCTTATTCAATGTTTTCCAAGCATGGTGCATGGTTTATTCTAGTCTGTTGATATCAGTTTATTGTAGATTCTAAGTTGAATCAGCTACACCGGTCGCACTTTTGAACCCTGGTGGCATTATCGTAAACATAACATCAGTAATATAACAATCCAATTCCAATCAGTTGTAAAATGTCCTTCAAATTTTTTCGCTGTGTGGGGGCTGAGAATTAAAATTCATCCATTTTGGTCTCATTTTATCAAAGAAAAAAAGGAATGGTAATCTGGCGCCCTTGTGGATGAAATAACAAATATTCAAAACCTTTAATAGGTAACATTAAAATAGTTATTTTTAATCAATTACGTTTCACTGAAGACGTAAAAAACTTTTTTAGATTCGTACGTTTTGAGAAATGAACATTTAAAGTTACCTATTTTTTGTGATATCAAAATGCCGAATTACAATCTTCCTAATATTAACATAAACGATGTAATCATATATCTTCGCAGTTTATTATTAAACATTTCATCATATTTTTCATGGGATTTAGTTGAATTGGAAAAAGCAGTTTTTTTTTATAATTAGATCATCGCGTTTAAAATATACATTCACAAATTTTTGTTCCTATTTTAAATGATCGGGGGGTAGTGTTTACAACACAAACCACAGTTTCTTCTGCGAAAGCGGCTTCTTGCAGGTATGCAATTACTAAGTTTGAACATGCCAACTGACTAATCGATTTGTTTCAATCTACCAATCTATTAGTTAATGCACCAAAGTTGCCTCTGCGTTAACCAGTGCTTGATTCTCCTACATGTATTTGTCAGTATATGAATACATGTATACCCTCATTTTCACAGCTCACACATTTGTTTCCCTGATAATCACGCGTCTCCAAAATAATTATACTTCTGTATATACATCGAGATTGCCCAAGTTCAGCTGTGGGTTTTAAAATCACTAACAAATGTATGAAGTGCCGCACAATACTGTCATCGGAGTCAGCTTCATGTATTTGCCACTATTGAGTGTGTGCATACTAAGTTTATCACACACATGATAATTGTTCATCATTACACGACACCTAATGAAACTATTTTCACAATATGAGGTATGAATATACCTGGTTAAAAATATATATAAATTCTCACTGTTGAAATATTTTTATTGAGTATAATATTCCATTATATTCAATAAGTTCCGAGAACACTCAAAACAACATAATAAAAATATCACGGTGTATTATTCACATTATGCTAAAAAGGATCAATAAAGACCTGTTGTAATACTGTTGTAATTGCCTATTTATCACATGACACACTCCTTTATGAATCCCAAAATAGCGTTGAAATCATGGCTACATCAAATTTAATAATATTTCTTCTATGTTCAAATACCAATTTGCTAAAAAATTATATTTTGTTGAAAACAACTGAGTTTTAAAGTTTTAGTAGCGCATTGGACTATTCTCCAATCGGATAACTATAATTGGAATAATGAATGACTTGAATTTCAAGTTATTCTATTTTTGGGAAATCGCGAATAATAACAATCTTACAATCGTACGCAGTCAATATCTAAATAAAATTTTATTCTGTTCCAAAGTACAACATAAATTTAATTGAAATCCAACATGTTACTGTGAAACTTTCTTGCCAACAATATCAAATTTAATCCCTAATTACGCCTAGTTCAGCGTCATTCAAAAATTCGCATGTTGTAATGACGACATTGAAAATAATAATAACAATAAATTACTATTTGCCTAACAATTAAACCGAATAACATTTCCCCGATACCATTATGAATTAAGGAAAACGCGAAATGGAACGACAACTTTAGTATTTTAACCTTTAGTAAATGTGGGCGAATAATACCGCAGTAAATTCTGCCGATCATTCTATTTCTTGAAATATTATTTCGATCCAGATTCATAGATACAAAACACGCGTTGTATTGACTTCTTATGAAGATTAGATTGAAACTTTTTCTATATGCTACACAATTAAACACATTTTTATAAATTTGTAGCAGTTTAAATCCCGTTTTAACGTGTCAATTATTGAAGAAATATGAATTAAAGCTTCAGCGAGAGTGGAACGCCACATTTCATATCTCTTCGTTATTGACGTCTAATGGTAGGTTGTTGCGCTACCCCCATCACTCAGCGAAGACAGCGGCGCTGGCAAATGTCAGCTAAAATCCATTCTTTCGCCCCGCTATTCGAATTAATTGAACATTATCACAAATCGTTATCGGTTCGCTTTACTAGCTTTGAAGACGTCAGACTCTGGAATGAAATCAAAGCGCTACCGCACAACAAAGGGATTTGCGGAAACAACCACTTTCACAGTTGTTTTACCATCGAATGTCGCCATTTTGATTCGGAAGTCGGATACGCATATGCCGTATTCCAGGGTCGTTAAAAATCTATCTCCGCCAATAGGCGCACAACATAAGCTTATGCTTAAGAGATTTTCCCATAAAGGTATACCAAATAAAAAGCAGATCTTTTCCTGAAGTCTTTTACTCTTTCACCTCTAATTGATTACCAACGTTTATCCTGACCTAAGCAACTTCTTGTTGGCAATTTGCCCTATAAATACTTAAGTACTTGTTCAAAATTGATGAATTAATTTCAAAAAAACTTGAGTTAAACGAGTCAATATTGAATTATTCTAACACTGAATAGTTTAAATTATTATAATGACAGCAAATATACAAGCCATTAAGATGTTTTTAACTTGATATCCTCGCCGACTATGTTGTATGAGCTACCTAACACAAAAATCCGAAACAAGCCGTCATTTTGAAACTCAGTGAAAAACTAACAATTTTTAACATTTATAACAAAAAGAGCCAATATACATATTTGATAAAAGATCAATACTAAATTACACTCGACTCTTTATACCTCACGCCCTGCTTTGAATAATGCCTGCGCTGCGTGTGCGACTGTTCTTCGTTTATAATGAAGCAACTCCCCTCCCTGTTACTACGATTAAAAAAATGGATTCTCCATTTATTTAGATTTCATAAAATAAAATCTCTCTGCAAAATATTACCGATGCATCTCCCAACACCAAAAGTAATGTGAACAAATAGGTAAGGGAAAGAATATTATATATTTATTACTCTATTGATAAATACAAAAAAAAGAAAGAAAAACGCGAAACAATGATTGAATAACTCTAATGACCACGGCCATCATCATCAGTCAAATGATCAACAATTATGTACAATAACGAGATAAGCTCAGCTTTAATTACCACACATTGTCACCTTGAA